TGAAATGTGAATATTTTGTCCAATGGTGATAAATCATATATTGATGCATATTTCTCTTGTTTTCGTGTGTTCGCAATTTCTGAATATACCTTTAGATAGAGCTCGACGAGTTCTATCTGGCACACGAGATTTCCTAAGTGGCACAATTGATGGGACGAATCGTTTCGCAAAAAACTCGAATATGGCGCTAACTTCCCTTACATCTCTTTCTTGTCTTTTGTATAGAATACAGAATAAACAGTAGATGAGAAAAGAAAAGAATTTCGATTTGTCAATATTACTACAATACAAAGAGCAGAACAAAGTGATAGGTAAATTACTTATGCTTGTTCACTTACCACTCAAAAGACAAAAAAAAGTACTACATGAGACTAACATTGAATAAATAAAGACCATACTATTGATAAATGCTTGTAACTAAAAAACAAAAAAACTTCATTATTTTTCTATCACATTAAATGGATAAACTACAAAGTATGATCTATTATAACAAACTGAGTATTCAATTTATATACACAAAAAAGAAATGTCAATTAAAACCTCATAAGGAATTGAACATAAACAATAAATACGTTCAATCAATTGTCGATAATGTCTTTTTAAAAGTAAGGTTGAATTGTTTTCAAAGACATTTAGTTTAGTTTTAGCTAATGTATTAAAATGCAAATCAATAGTTTCTGTCTATTCTTTTTGACAGATCATTTGTCATTAAAAACTATAAATATTTTCATCTATTTATGAATTAAAGATACACACGAACAACGATAAAAATACAATAGATAGGGTTTTTTTTATACGGAAAAAAGCCTTATTCTGAAAAAAGATCATATAAAATAAAATGAGAAAAGTGAATAACATAATTACACAAAATGAGTTAAATATCCTCCTTTTTTTAAATAATATCAATCATTCGTTTAAAAACTTGGTAAACTATCATCCGAACCAAATGTCATGAAATAAATTACAATCGTTGTAAATAGAACGACATTAGCTGTCATTATGAAACCCATTGAACCAATATGAATCTAAATTTAAACATCATCAAATTAAATTAAAAAAAATTTCATTTTACTTACAACAGTTGCTCGACACATAACTGCTGGTAAACCAAATGCAGAAATACCAATAATAACACTTGTTATAAATCACATTAAATCTGTACATGGATTTGAATCATGCATACTATAACTATCCGATGTACATCGACGTCCAATTCCTAATGGAATCAGACAAAGTACATAAAATATAATCACAAATGTTGACCACTAATTGCTTCAAACAAAAAAAAATTTTCATAAAAAAAAAAAGATTAAATATATCATAAATACATACTATTGAGCCAATGCACAACTTAAGATTAGTAATGTAAGATCAATAGAAGCAAGAAAAGTCAGAAGAACAACGCTAGATAATACACAAATAATAAATATTTATATTTTATCAATAAAAATACTTGCCCTAAAAGAAAACCAAATTCAATTTTTCATACATCTTTTCTATAGACATGAAATATAAATGGGATTAATAGCAAAAAGAAAAACATAATGAAAGTGTATTTTTTTAATTCTATGGCCATGGATTAACACGATTTTTTCGCATTAAAAATTTTATTTTTTGTTCCATATCATTATTATAAATTTCATGTGCTCTAAAAAGAAATAATTGATCTTATCAAATAAATAATAAATCTTTACTTCTCATAAAACAATCGACCTTGTTTACGAAATGGTTTTTCATAATCATTCCCATAATCGAGCTGTTTTAAATACATCTTCATTATTTAATACTCTAAACAAAAAAACACAATCATTTTATTTATTTTTTAAATTCGTATTGTTACCGATTTAAAGCTCAATAAGCTAAATCAATTTCACCATTTCGAATCCAAACTGTTCGTGCTAAAAATCTTGAATGAACGTTCCACATCTATAAAACAATAAATCTACAAAATTCATCAAAAGAAAACATGGAAAAAAAAAGAACATATATATATATGGAATATTTATCTTCATTGAAGTTACAATTCCTGAGAAAAATATTTGACCATGTCGGATTATTATTTATCAAACAGATTTGTACTTTGCGATTAAGAAGAAGAAACTGTATTATGATTTGGGCGGAAAAAATATCGTTTAACACGATTTGCTAATGATGATTTTGTTTTATTTGATTTCTAAATATTAAAAAAAAATAAAATAAATTTTTGTTTTAAATAAAAATGAATACTTTATCAATATTTGTTGGTTGTTCATTTGCTAATCCAATCGTACTATATGATCTTCTTCAACGTAATGAAATAATTTCATTTTCATTTTCATGATTTATTATCGAAGCTGAATGCGTTCGATTTAAATGAGATTTTATTTCGTCTTCGTCTTCAGATGACTTATGATTATTTGAAAATGAAAAATGAAAACAAGAACGACGACATGTAGAAGATTTTTTTATTTGATTCATTAATTTCCATCATATCAATGTCAGTTTGTTGTTCATTACGAAAATATTGTTCAACTTTTTCAGCTAAATCATCATCAAATGTTGACATTTTAGGTATTTGTTGAGTTAATGGTAAATATTCTTGATCATTTTCTTCATTATTTATTGGAGGAAGAATATCTTTATCTAATAGAGGAAGTGATATATTATTCTCCTTTTATGGTTTAGTTTTTACTAATTTACAACGTGGTGTATCATCAAGCATTTCAGTTATATCATCCGATACAGGACGTTTTGGAATCTAAATTTAAAGATTTATTACAGATGATTACACGTTTATTTATTTCAAACTGGATGAAAAGTTGAAGTATAAGGGTAGACATTTGAATCTCCTTCTACAGACATCGCGTGATTAACATTGATATGTCATATGAAAATGGTATCTTAAGTTTCTTCAAACTTACTCGCATAGGTGTCGATCCATTCCCAATTGGTGTAAGAATATGTTCTTTACGTTATGCTGTAAGTTTAGGTCTTTGAGATGTTTCACCTGTAATCATTGGTGATGGTTGATCCATTTCAATCGTATCTGAAGCTAAAAAACACAAACTTTTCAAATAATTTCTTAATCAAAATTAAATTACATATTGATACAGATAATTGTTTTTCATTATTTAAAATACATTTACTAAATGGTGGTCCAGGTGGATCAAGCATAACTGTAATATACGTTATATTATCAGTACGTAACATTCGTTCTTGCTATCAAAATTAATGCTTTTTGTACAAGTTCATGTGTTGCATTACGACATGAACGATCATCATCATCCTATTAAATTTTATTAAATCAAATCAATAAAATATAAAAATTTCCAAACCTCTGAATTCAAAATCATTTCTTCTGTTTTATGATAAATTTCAGAAGCGTTTCTTAGGATATCACAGATTTCTTAAACCCTTTTCTCGTATAGAACAGTTTTCCAAATTCTTTTAGTGTATAGGATAGATTTCCTAAACGATTTTTGCGATGCAAAACCATGGACATTCAAATAATACTCGACCAGAAGCAGTATTTGCTAAGAAACATGCATTTCTTTGTTACCTGTATAAGCGATTTTTTCGCCGTATAAGATAGAGAATTAAATTCTCTACAAATCTATGCGCTTTCTGGAGACAAGCGGATAAATTCAGTGGACGGCATACCTAACGCAAAAAATAGAAATTTAGACAAAGTGAAATGAAAAAGTAAATATTGGCTGATGAGTGAAGTTTCTCCATTGATAAATTGTTTTCTAGTCAAGACTTTTGTATATCTTATAGGTTCTAATGACTTATGAATATCTTGAAAGAGTTCAAGCGTTTAGCTTATATCCGTCGAGACAGTGCATTGCCAATTTAATCTTATGATCGTCCTCAGAAACACTTGGGAAAATGTTTTCTTCGAATTACTTAGGGTGGTCCAAAAGTTCTGGCCATGGCATTGAAAGGACCTTGCCAGATAAGGTGACCTATTTAGAAATGAAGAACCAAATCTACCAGATTGTAGAGCTTCTTCAGACGTGTCGAATGGTATATAGCAAACCTTGTTTTCATAAGACTTTGAAGGAAGTAGAGGCAATTTATTGACAGATAACAGCACGCCCATATCTGTACCTACCTATAAGATGACCGGAGATACTATGTATATGAGATTCTAGCCCGTCAAAAACTCTACAAAATCGTATTTGAGAAGATTCGCTATATACCGTTCAACGTGCCTGAGAAAGCTTTACAACATGGTAGACTTGGTTTTCCACTTCTAAATAGGTTACCTTATTCGATAAGGTTCTTTAAATGCTGTGGTCATAACTTTTAGACCATCCTAAGTAGAATTCGAAATTTTGCCAAGAGATAAAGCGTTGTAAAAATTTCAACTCTTCGCTTTGTTCCTATCATGAGATAAAAACATCGATTTTACCATTGCGAAGATTCATCTATCAAATTCAAGTTGAACAGTAAGGATATAGTGCAAAAAGATCTAATATATTCACTGATAATATTTATTCTTTTTTTCTTTATCTTGATTGTATTTTACTTAAAACAAATATTCATAGTTTAAAGATAACTTGTGAGAATAAACTAGAGTTCTTATTTTCGTTTTACTCTTTTTATATTGATTTATTTTATATAAGATTTAATTTAGGTTTGGTCATTTGGTATGACTCTTTTGAATGCTTATGTTGGAGATACTGTATTTCGTTTACGAGGTATTCGAGCATTAAATTCAGTAGCACATGCAAAAAAAGATTTAAAAGAAATAACAACAAAAATATTAGAAAAGAATACATATGCTCGACCAGATATGAATCAATTATTTCGTTATCCATGGTTTCGTGATAGTCCATGTTTTGAACGAATTCGAAAACTTGTTCATGTACAAACTGGTAAATTTTTAAATTTACCTTATGAAAGATGATTCCCATTTGTAGGTGTATGTTTGTGTTTCATTATTTGATATTACGAATATCCATATTATTGAAAAGATTAGTAGCGTAATCAGG